CTCTCTCAAAATTAAATAAATAAATAAATAAATAAATAAATAAATAAATAAATAAATAAAAGAGTTAATCGAAGTTCAGTGAGCTCAGTAGCCATGCAGCTGGGGTAGGATGGGCATGTGCCTAGCTCTCTGACTTTAGATATTATGCTCTGCCCCCAGTAGTGTGTCAATTTCCACCTTGCTGTTGGTCTCATTCCTCTCTTCTGCTGTTAACCATGCCATTGTGTCGACCCTTATCCCTCCAAGGCAGTTTGTTAACAGATGTGTCATTTTAAGTTTGAGGGAGAGCCACGCCCCTCCAGCTCTTTAATAGATCAGTGGAATAGATTTTCTTCAGATCAGCCTTTCAGTTGTTGACTTCATACACATTTCCCTCCTGTGCGTAAGGCCGTTAAGCAAAAGAACTGAGCACATTTAAAAGGCAGTAAATTAAAATCACAGAAGCAAAGGTATGAACAGGTAGAGAGAGGAGGAGGGGGAGTTGGGGACAAACCCAGCCTGCCATATACCCGGGACGTGCAGGCGCTGACACGGATGTTAAACCAGAGGCACTAAGGGTAATGGAGTGTTCATGGTGCCGAGCTCATGGCTTATCTCACGACTCCTCCTCATAAAACCCTCTGCAGCTGGTACTGTAGTTGTCACTGACTTTTTACATTTGACAACACTAAGCGAGGTGAAGCTTGCCCGAGGCCACACACCGAACGGGGGTGGAGCCAGGTTCAAATGAAGATCCGCTGACCCCCAACCTACCCCAGGCTTCACTGTACCGTTTACAGGAGACTTGGCAAATCTCAAATCTCAGCCCAAGGGAGGGCCACGTCACGAGCAGAGCCTGCTAGAAAATGACTTCTCTTGATAACATTGTCTCAGGTGCTAATGACAGTGGAAGAGAAATGATTATTTCTCTGACACCGTTTCTTTGATTCCTAAATAGAATCTATTTCAACTAATTTGGAACCACAAGAGAAAGCAAAATGTTAAGGATGAGAAGAAACTTGTAATATGTCGTGTTAGAAATGCATATTTTATTCAGCTTTTCCACGAGCTCGTTTAAAAAAAAAACAAAAACAAAAAAAACTCCAAGTTGGTGCCAAATCTGTTGACTCTGCTTCACAAAAGTTTAGGACTGAAGGCTTCCTTACAGTTTGCAAATTTTACATTTCACATTCCAAAGTTCACCAGGGAAGTGTCAAGCACAGTAGATAATATTTCCTCTGCACATGCCAGCAGTATTTTCTGAAGTTTGTAAACGGCTCAGGAAGCATTTGCTATTGAAATTTGGCCCACAGTAGTCTCCCTTCAGTCCACTGATTTGTTCCAAATTCCTTGGATGTTGAATTTTAGAAGAGGGAGCCACACAAAATATTTGTATGAATAACTGT